TATAAAGGGGTTTGGCGGCGGCGTCAATTAGAAGGGGGGGGGGCTCTCCCGATAACGACAAACAAGACCTCCCCCTCTCCAGCGGCCAAGTACGACTCCCCCCCCCCCCATGTGTTCCACACAATGATGCTGTACTCTGACTCCCCAGCGCCCGCAGCAAAAACAGCTATACGTGGCATTGAACGTTCTGTGTTTTTGCTTTTTTTTGGTTTCCATCAAACTCGGTTTCTCGAGCTTTATATGGGTTATGCGTTACATGGCTAAGTGTTAATTAGCTGTTAAATTTGTTAAATTGGTGTTAATTAGAGTATTTTAATGCAGAATTATGTATATGGGCTACCGGTTAGAGGGGTTAGAGGGGGGGGGTCGAAAAATTAGAAGATGCGTTGTGGCTCGGGTAGGTCGGAGATTCTTCTTCTCCCTCAAAAATTGCAGGCTATTATACACTGCTGTTAGGAGCAGACACAAGTGGTAGAGTGGCCTTACTAAGGCAAATAAGGCCCCTAGTTACCTGCTGTGTTTGTGCGAAATCTGCAACCTCTTTTCACAAAACGTAAGCGTTTCTTCCACGTTACTTACTCCGTTACGTCCACTTAAAGTGCTGAAGCTGTAGAATGCTTGTTGAACTCCGCCCTTACTACTCACAGCTTCAAAAGTGGCTCAGTTCGGCGACGGGAGGGTGGCATGTGCATTTTCGCTGCTTCCCATGACTTCATGGCTTCACAAGATTTCACAAATCTCTGCTTGTTGGCTAGTTACGACAATAGGAGAGCGAATGTGCAAAACGCCCCTCCCTTGCCACCGAACTGCCCCTAAAAAGTTTCAAAAGGCTAGCGGGATAGAAATGATATCGTTTCAGTTGCCAGAGCTGTAGCACAACGCCTGGTGTGTTCGAGTCGAGTTTACTGGATCTCTTATGAATAACCTGGTTCAATTACATATGCATTTCTTGGAAATCGATTTGTCTAGGCTTCTGCCCACCTTATGGAAATTCATTTGTTCATAGTTCCTGTCTCATTTGTGTGTATTTATACTTTGTGAAGTGAACATAGTTTCCACTACTGTATCTCTTATGAGTAAACAATCTCAGAAGGCAAAAATGAACGCTTGGCTTTAATCGAGGCAACTCGGGAAGCGCCATGCATCACAAAGAAGCCGCAAAGTTACCGTTACGCTCGAATAATTAGATGGGTCGCCGCCACTTTTGCACTCTAGTTCATTTGCAGGGCAAACAGCGTGCAGAGAAGCTGTCCTCTGAATTTTCAAGAAGGGGTTTGCATAGCAGCCAAAGGACGTGGCGTAGAATGGCACAGTTGTGACCAGTGAATGCGAATCACCGCCAAGTTCGCGCTTGGTGGGACACCGAATGTACTGCGAAATCTCAACGCTTGTAGAGACTTCCTTGTGGACCTCGTGAAATGAAATTCAAATTCTCAGCTTCCTACCATTTTTGTTCACCCAAAAGTTTCTCGTCGGGGGGGAGGGTGAATAGCACATGTGAAAAGGGCAAAAACCGCGAGTAAAATTCCTTAACTTCTTAGCCTTCTTTCATTTTCTCATCATTTTTTCCGTAATTTTCCACGAATTTTCCTACTTTTCTCCAAAAATTTTGCGTCTATGGGGATATATAGTACACATGAAATAGGAAAAACCATGAAAAGTCAACAATCGGAAAAAATTTTTCCCAACGCGGCAAATTTCTCTCAAAGGCACATACGACCCCCCTCCCCAACAACGACCAAATACGACCCCCCCCTCCCCAGCGGGCAAGTGCGACCCCCTCCCTCATTGTTTCACGCAACTATGCTGTACCCTGATGAAAGTGGCTCGCTCGGACCATTTTGCAGCTTCCCAGCAGTTTACCTGTTGTTCAACTGAACAAACTATAGTAACAAGTGCAAAATGTCCCCTTCAAGCCCAATAGCGCCAACATGTGCCATACAAAAGGGCGACAAACACCACATAATAAAAATTTATTGAGCAGCGCATATACTAACTATCACAAATTACTATAAATATTACATGGCAGTGTATTAGCTAAAATCGAAAATATCTCTCTTTACATTTGCTCGTCCTGTCAACCTGTCTTTAACGACGATACGATCATGGTGTTCTTGCGGTTGATCTGTGTTTCTTTCCGATGTACCAAAGGCACTTTCTCGTGATTCGGCGGATCCTGAGGGGAAAGCGCTGCCCAGACAGCCATAAGAATGAGGAACCCAAGTGTCATGGCGAGTCCGAACAGCAGAGCGGACAAAACAGAGCGAAGGATAGAGTGACCCGGAGTGACGTCCACTTGCTCGTAACGCAGTTGAGTATTAGCCTGCAACAAGAAGCACTTCAAAATTTAAGTTGATGTGAGTACGTGAAGCAAGAAGCCTATCCGCCACCGACCCGTGCGAACCAACACCGAGCCGCCGCTACGCATCCGCACGCGTCGAATACCTGCCGATTGTATTCGTCGCGCGCGGATGCGACGCGGCAAACATTGTGCTGTATAAAACAGCAAAAAGTCAAAAATAGCATCAACCCACCATTTCAGAAAGGCTTTTATCGAACTGAGTCATGTTATGTAGCCAGTAATCCACAACTTCGGAATGATAGCCCATTTTATTCCGTGGGAATATCCTCCTGTTGAGGTTCGCTTCGACAGAGTAGTAATTTCGCTTCCTTGGATCGAAGGGCAACCAGTCTGTAAATGAAGGGTATCCAAAAAGGACATATGGAAGGAAACTGAGAGAAAAGGCCAACTTCAAATCAATAACCCCTAAAGAGGACAAACATGCCACGGAGCCATATTTTGACCCGTTGCCGAGCGAGCCACTGGTTTATACTTACTTGGGTGCAAATTGAGAACGTCAGGTGGCCATAATGTCCTATTCAACATGTTTTCAGCTATAGAAAACGGCCGGCCTACTACTACCCTCACAGAGTGCGTGGAGCCGCTATCCCGCTGAGTAACCTCAGCTTGGGGATGAAATGCAAAGCAGAACTATGTCACGCTTAGTTGCTATGAGATAGAAGCTCACCCTTGCGAGGCTTCCGCCCATAACGAGTGTCGCTTCCCGCCCATAAATGAAATTTATGAAACTTTTTGCATAGAACTGGTCAATGAGGTGCTCGTCAGCTGTAAAGTTTCTCATATGCAATCCGATGAAAAACGGCATGTCAGAAGAATGAAGCGGTAGTGGTTCATGGCTGAAATCAAATCGTATAAATGATAAAAGGTCAAAAGTCAGCAATGAATCCATTAGGTGGCGACCCCTATTTATGAGAAAAAGCAATTGAAGAGAAGCCGCGAATCTAAAGTGAAGACCATCTGAAACCATAATGACGGAAGAGAAAGAAAAAGGAAAAGGGAAAAAAAGCAGACCGGCTGAGCTCTGACATCGTCATTTCGATAAACAAGTGAGACTAAACTCATTGGCCGTTAACATACAGCAGCAAAAAAAAACGAAATCGCGTTTCAAACAGTTTTAAAGCTCTTATTCAACAGCAATCCAGTGGAAAGGTGAGCAAATAGCAGGAATACAACAACAAAGAAGAGCTGCTTCCGCCGTGCCACATGCAGAGGTATTTACCATCCGTGCGACACGACTCGCATAGACAGCTTCACGAGGAATTCCACGGCATATATCGACACACAGTTTCTTTTAAAATTGCCATGAAACAGCTCGGTTGTATGATCTGGTCTTCTTTGCCTCCAAAACTCGCGCTTCAAAGTTTCAGCTCAAAACAAATAAATAAAAAAAGAGGCACGCATTCGGGGCTGGATGTCGAAGACTTAACGCATGGTCACTTTTTCCCGGTCATTTCCTGATGCCGGATTCTTGGCAGCCGGAACCTCGCATCTCATATTTTTGTTGCATGCTTAGATTATTTTTACTGAATCTGAAAGACAGTTCTTCCAGCATACTTTACCTATTCACGCAAACGATACGGTCAACAGAAGCCAAGGAAAAGCGATAATCTTAATAGAAAACAACAATTTTCTGGCTTGTTTCAAGTTTTTTTGGCAGGTGTATGTCGAAAAAAGAGCCCCACACTGCTGTGGTAGCGGGTAGAAGGTAGAACCACATACCCTTAGTACAGTGGAAAAAAGAAACCCCCCTACCCCTTAAGCGCATGAACGCTTTCCACTGTTAATGACCCCTACCGTTGATGGATTCCCTTCCTCCGCGATTTCCCACTTGGGATTTACCTAGTGCAATGTTTTTGAATGCAATATGTCCTGTGCAATTGTGGGGGCGAGCCCATATACATGTTTATATTGCGATCGAGTATGGTACCAAATAGCTAGTTCGTGAAAGGGTGAAAAGCCCCCGGTCCTAACAAAGGCGACATGATTCACCCCTTCCTCCTAGGGCCATTTTGTTCGCTCTCTTCGTGAATCCCGCATAGCGAGCTATTCAATACGTCCCGTCCTGAATAAATACAATAAGGAAATGCTGGGAAATGTACACCGGCTGGTACCAGAATCATTGTAAAGCCAGAATATTCAAAATACAGCAGGCGACACTGTATTACTTGCTCTTTTTGACAGCCCCACTTTGTTAAGAAGATAATTCGGCAGGAAATCCTGGAATGACAATCTTTTGGACAGGTTCGACAATGGTGTCTGCCGTCTAACGTTCGCGGCCAGGGTTAGGTTACACTTAACGATGCTAACTCCACAAAGAATAACTCACTCGAACTCCATGAGATAGACCTTGGCTCCTTTCTCCGTGAAGGCAGTGCCAAACATTACCGTATTCGCGAAAACTACTTGTGACAAGTAAGCATCTCGATGATCTGAAACCCACGACATCACAAGAAAGAGTATTATCCCGGTGAAATGTTCAGAATATTTCAACTTCCAGGAAATCCTGTATCAAATCCCCCCATATTTCTGATGACTGGTCGTGCGTGAACTATAGATCTTCCTACAGCCCAATGTTCAAGAAAAGTCAGTAAATCCAGCTCCACCCTAACTCTGCTTTGAACGATCATTCATGCTCATAAGGTTTCTGAGAGGGTGACGCTTATGTGCAAACCTTTGAAACTCATATCGTAGAAGTACTTCTTGCGTACTTGTTCTGGATGTGAAACCTGTAGGAATGAACCGATATCGTCTGTCTCTTCATTAGTCAGCTTATTGTATTCGTAACGCGTCGAACTAGAAATCATAGGTCTAGCCTGAAATGAGAAATACTGCTCATTATACGTGGGTCAGCAAGCTATGCAACTATTGGGGAGATGTTTTCGTGGCTAGAAGTTAGGGAACTTACCAGCTATGGAGCCCCTAAAAAGGCATGGGAAATTCACAGCGGTGGGTGTTGCCAGGTATTCGGCTGCAGCTGCACTTTTGGTGGGATATTTCCAA